TGTTAAGAGATTTTTTTTCTATCACATAAAAGCTCCTTGAGGCTTCATATCAAAGGGCTCCTTGTGTAACTCACACTATATGTGCAGCTGCATGTGTCACAGTAGAAAAGCGGTCCAAAAGTTTGACCCCTCGTCACACCAGCAGTCCATGGGAAGAGACAAAATGACCTCAATTATATGGGTGTAAGCAGTAGGAATATTCTCTAGTCAAGTGTGCCCTGACAAAAGGCGAAATTTGAAGGAAAATGGGAAGTTGAATGAAAAATGGGTTGTTATATTGGGCAACACAGTACTTATGTAAGACAATGAAATTAAGCCTAAAGACATTTGCAATACAGAACTGTCTGCTTGTTATCTTCTGGCCATGGATGGGTCACTTTTTCAAATCCAATAATACTATTTGGAGTCCAATTAGCAGCACTACTGTATAAAGACAAGGGAATCACTTAAAGCCAGTTAAAGTCTTTTGCAAAATTGCACCAGCAATACAGCTTTCCCCCATCACTAGCCTGCAGCTAAGAACCACTGCTTTCTCTGTGAGAGCAGCAATCTTGCTACAGCAGACCAACATGTCCCCTGCTGAGTCAGACTAGTAGCTCTGCAATCAGCAGGGAGTGCGAACTTTGCTAATTGCAGAGCTGTTGGTCTGACTCAGCAAGGGATGTGTCGGACTGTTGCAGGAAGAGGCTGCTCTCAGTCCTTAGCACGGGTAAATGCAGTATCAGTGGGGAATGCTGATACTCATATGACAGGTAAGAAATTGAAAACCTGTTATTTTGTCCCCTCTGAAATCATTGGTGCAATTTTGTAAAAAAAAAAATTCAATATGGCTTTTGAAAGCAAACATTTTGGAATGCTGAAAGTCTGTTGCTTCAATTGAAGAAATAATTTGCCAGATATTGTTCTTGTAAAGGACATGCGGCTGAAAAAATAAAAGTCAAAGAGAAATGTATTGCTGGTGCTCAGCAGTCTTATGGAGAACAGGCCAGCAGTGAGCCAATACATAAAAGCAACAATCAGAGGTGTCTGGCTGCTCCCCATCCTCCCTATTCCATAAACACACATGCTCAGGCACCTTAAAACGTTCATGTTTATTGCCAAGGTTATGGAAAGATATTGTTGGATTGTTCCTGCACATCCAAACATTTTCATTGGTCTGCAGCTATCTGTAGTTATGAAAACTCTGGCCTTGAATGGGCAACATAAAAACCCCTAACATTTTATCTTAAAGAGGACCTCATTTTTAACTTAAAGCTACATTGGCAGCTTTGCAAAGAATGATAAGGAGAGTCATAGAAAGGCCAATATAATTACATTGTGCAGGGTAAATGCTGCTATAGTCTTCCTGAAGCTCTCGTCATATTACCAAAGCCTGGGCATTTGGTCATGTGATTTCTGTTAACGGTGAGAAACTGGAGTTCAGATTATCTGATTTTCTCATTAAGCAAGGATCTCTTCCAGGGGTAAGCAAACTTTGGCCCTTCATCTGTGGTGAAACTACAGATTGCATCATGCATTTGCCCCTTTAAGTAATGCTTGCAGCTTTCAGAGCCAAGCAATGCCTAATGGGGTTTGTAGTTTCACCACAGATGTTTGGCTACCCCTGTTTTAGACCTTTGGTAATGTGTCAGTTACTGAAGAACGACTAGAACAGCATTTTTACAAAAAAAGAAGGTCATTATTTCAGCCCTTCTATGATGTTTCCATCACAGCTAGACTGTTAGCTTTAAGTTAAGTGTAGGTTGATTTTATCTAATTGCCTGCTTATTTTTTTATATCTATTATATATACATAGTCTGCTTGTACAGTACATTTCTGGGGTACAAACTCAACAAAACTATTAACAGCCCTCTTGAAGTTTCAATTTTTACATCAGTCTCAGAAAGGCCAGGCATCTGGTATTGAGCCCTCTTGTTGGCTATTTCTCCAATCAGCTGCTACAACATTATTAATCTTATGGCAATAAGGCACCTCCAAAGTAGGAAATTACAATTCCTATAGTGCCATAACTTTATGGTGTCACTGCAACATGTCTGCTGTGGTGCCATCCCAATTATTCAGTATGTGACAGTTGTTTTGTGTGAACATCATTCATTTTGCACCATTGATATATATATATTTATAAAATATTTATGTATATTTCTATTATATCCAGTATAACTGAAGAAGAGGTAGTCAATGGGGTAATTGTCAATCATCCTTTCACTTCCAATAAGGTACATGTCATCGCATTTCTGATCAAGTTTGTTTGAACACAATTCTATTATATTCAGCATTGAAAGAAAACCTCTGCTAAGCCATGTTCACATTTAAAATGGCCATAAAATGTAAAATAATAATGATAAAAAAATGTCTGTGGAACAATGCAAGAAGCAAGAACGAAGTGCAAAGTCTAGTACCCATAACAACCTATCCAACATCCTCTGCCATGACTTTAGTATAGCAATTCTGATTGGTTGCAGTGGATTACCACTCTTTGTTTCTCACACTGTTTGTTGAATATGGGAGTTATTCTGTATAGTTTGTTACATGTTATTAAAGAAAAACCTAAACTATGCTCCCAGGATGCAGTAGGAGTGTCCCCCTCTTTGGGCTAAAGGAGGCTGGAATAGTCATAAACAGTTCTGGAGGTGTTATGATCTGTGCTGCACTCCCTTGCATGGAAAGTGTTAAATGTTTCCAACAAAGCCATTCATAGGGAAAATAGTTTTACACACACTTGAAATACAAATATATGTGAACTGTCCTGTCTACCTGAGGCTGGTCACGTTTATGATTCATACACCTCTGCCAGACAGCAAAGAGATGCAACACTTTCTCAGTTAAAGATAAGGAATACAGTGGTGTCACTTCACATCCTACAGCCTAAAGACTGGATGACGCAGGAGCAGCAAAACACTGATAAGCCATCAACTCACTCTGTTCTCTCCTCCTGTCAGCACATGTGCATGTAGCAGAGGTTGGTTACCAGTGCTGCTGCTGTGCAAGACATGACTAGTAATGTGTGTGGGCCTGGTACAAATCCAGTTCGCTCAAGCTTGCACAAAACTGTCAGTGACACTTGCCCTCCCGGCCCAATCAGTGGAAGCCGGGTCATTACCCACCTTTTGGCTGTGGGGAATGCCCTAGCTGCAACATATGAGCTGGGAGGGTGGTGTGTCGCTGACAGCTTTGATTGGGCGAACTCTGACACTTGGGTTTGCACTAAGCCCGCGCACATCACTAGGCATGAAAAGAGACTGCTATGAAGACAGATACAGGCACTCATGTTAGTTTTATGTAACATAGCATGAAATTTTTTTTTAAATACATAGATGCATTAAATAGTGTTTTTAGTAACTAACTGGAATTCAGCTTTTAGTGCGTTCAACGCCTTCACATTTTCATTTTGTTTTATATTCTTAGTCTGTTACATATTTAGACTTCATGCAAACACATACACATATACATAGAACTCCATAGTGATGTTTTGCAGAGACCTAGATTACTTGGCTTTTCGCTCTTCATTTGTAGCTATATGGGCATTACTGCATCAGTGAATGGTTTATTCAGCTCTATGAAAGAATAAGGCTGCAGAAAAAAGAATGAGCCCAGGAACCAATATAGGTATACACAGGGGCACATTACAATCCATATTTTGTACACCTACATCACCCGATCTGCGTCCATAGAGATTACAGGTCAGTCAAAGGACCTGCAAAGCCCATCCAGCTGCAGAGGATGAGCAATATGCAACTTCTGTGTGAACACAGCCATCATTTATAAGGGTGGTATTACTATAAAATATATGAGCTTATTCCCCAGTTAATAGAAAGTAGATTAAAACTTTAATTTATTTAGATTCAAAGGTTACTCTCAATTTGTGCACGTTTAAGTGCACCTTTTAATACAAAATCCTGCTAAATAGACTTGACCTTGAATGTGTGTAAGTATCCTTAAAATTAACTCTGGTCAAAGGTAGACATTTGACCTTGATTCACACAGGGAGCACAGCATATCTACTTAGTACAGTTTTTTCTAGGCATTAATATAGCACATCAGTTTTTTTGTTATCTGCTGATCTAAGAACCCCTGCTTGTGATGTAGTAGAGGAATTCCTAAACACATCCACTGCAGGCTCCTTGCTACCTCTCACGTACTGCTTGATGTAAACAAAATATCAGTATTTCTTATAGCCTCCAATCAGATTCAAACCTGCCTTGGAAGTTTGAATGTGATTGGTGATACAGGAGGAAGAGTGACAGTTGCACAGGCATCAGGAAGTACAGTCCCAGTGAATCTGTGAGGATCTCTTTAGTTCTTGGCAACAATGATTTACATAGAACTCCAGTGGACCTTTGAGTTAAGCACAGTTGCAGTGTTTAAGTTGCTCGCTAATTGGTCTCATTTGTTGCCTGAATTTTCTCCTGAAGCCATGCAGTGCCAAAAAGCAGCACTGTAGCTCCACAAGCATCACTAGACAAGAATAGATAGTCGTTCATGTATTTCCATCAGTGTTAAGCACACATTTAAGCTCATGGG